ATCTAATCTAGAAGCATTAAAATTTTCAGCCACTACATTGTCTACCACATCAATCCTTAAAACAGCACTGCCATCATGATCACAATTTTTCATAGCATCAAACACATTAAAAACAATCTCCTCATCATGTATTCTAAGGCTAAGTTTTCCTTGTTGAACATCAATAAGCGCTCTACCAGTAGCAAGGAATGGTCTACCAAGAATTAAAGGCATTTCAAAATCCTCTTCCATGTCAAGAACAATAAAATCAACAGGAAAAATAAATTTATCAACTTTTACCAAAACATCCTCTACCACTCCTCTTGGATATTTAATGCTCCTATCTGCCAATTGAAGAGAAACTGTGGTAGGTGTAGGTTCTCCTAATCCCAATTTCCTAAATACATGAAAAGGCATCAAATTAATGCTAGCACCCAAATCACACAAGGCCTTATCAAAATTAACATTGCCAATAATACAAGGAATAGAAAAACTCCCTGGATCCTTCAACTTAGGAGGTAACTTATTTTGAAGAATAGCAGAGCACTCTTCATTTAACTTCACCATCTCGAACTCCTCTAACTTCCTTTTATTGGCAAGGATCTCCTTCAAAAATTTTGCATAGCTTGGCATCTGCAAAATAGCATCAATAAGAGGAATATTAATATGTAACTTTTTAAACACCTCTAAAAATTTAGAAAACTGCTTGTCTAAATTAGCTTGCAAAAATCTTTGGGGAAAAGGAATTTTTGGCTTATAAGGCTTGACATTCGGATCATGAAAAAGTCTTTTAGGCTCCTCCTCTTGCTTTGATTCACTTGCTTCCACACCTTCTTCTTTCCCATCAGATTGTTCTACCTCTTTAAGTTCTTTCCCACTCCTCAAAGTGATAGCCTTCAATTGCTCCCTTGGATTCTTTTCACTATTGCTTGGCAAACCCCCTTGAACTCTTCCCGAAACCATATCAGCAATCTGTCCAAGTTGCGTTTCTATATTCTGAATAACAGCATCTTGATTTTGAAACCTTATTTCTGTACTACTCACAAATTTGTGCACCAACTCCTCCAAATTTGGCTTCTTTTCTTGCTGATTTTGTTGATGAAAACCGGGTGGTACTCTCACTTGATTATTACTCCATGAAAAATTAGGATGGCTCCTCCATCCTGGATTGTAGGTGTTGGAGTATGGATTAAAATTAGACCTACCACCAGAAGAAACAAAATTAGCTTGCTTATTAGAAGATTGAATTGAATTGCCTACTTGACATTCAACACTAGCATGACCAAATTGCCCACACAATTCACAGCAACTATTAGATGAAATACTCATTGCTGATGCTCCTAAATTATCTAACTTTTTATTCAAAGCAGAAATTTGAGCAGATAAAGAAGTAAAAGCATCAACATTACGTAAACCAACTCCTTTTTTGGTAGCTCTGTCATTAGTCCATTGATAACTATTAGAGGCCATTTCATCTAACAGCTTATAACCATCCTCCTCTGTCTTATTCATAAGATTATCCCCTGCAGCTACATCAATTATAGAACGATTAGGAGGAGTCATACCATTATAAAAAGTCTGCATTTGGAGCCAAACAGGTAAACCATGATTTGGACATTGCCTAAGCAATTCCTTAAATCTTTCCCATGCCTCATATAATGACTCATTATCAAATTGAACAAAAGTAGTAATGTCATTTCTCAACTTAGCTATTTTTGAAGGAGGAAAAAATTTAGCTATGAATTTATCTACCAAAACATTCCATATGGTAAAATGACCTGCAGGAAAAGATTGAAGCCAACTCTTGGCTTTATCATGCAAAGAAAATGGAAATAATGTAAGCCTAACAGACTCATTACTAACACCATTAGCCTTAAAAGTATCACAAATTTCAAGAAAACTAGCAATATGCGCATAAGGATTTTCATTAGGCAAACCACTGAATTGGACAGTTTGTTGGATCATTTGAATGATAGCTGGTTTGATTTCAAAGTTATTGGCTTGAATCGCTGGCCTCCTAATGCTTGATGCTATTCCTTCAAGGGATGGGGTGGCATATGAACCAAGAGTGCGTGCATTATTTTGTCCTTCTTCTGCCATGATGTTCTGCTTTTGCTCTCTTAAAAACTCCCTAAAAGTTCTCTCAATTTCTGGATCAAATGGAACAA